TTGTGATTCACACACATGCAAGCAACCTGGGCTTAGGAGCATGGAGGTATCCTCCGACCGATTGCGTTCGCGAGTCATACGTTGACGCCGGTGGAGAGGAACTACTCGGTAACCGCGAAAGAGTGGCGATAGTTTTTGCCCTCCGTAAGTTCGACTTTTACTTCGACGGAGTTGCGTTTGTGATTGAGACTGACCACATGGCGCTCACGTAGTTGAGCCGTTTGAACGAACCAAGTGGCCGCCTTGCGCGTTGGGCATTGCTGTTGCAGCGTTACAACTTCACTGTTCGCTACCGCAAGGGTAAGATAGTGTGGTCGATGCACTATCGCGTGCTACAGTCCGACACGAGGCAAGTCACGCAACTAATTCAGAACGAACTGAAAGCAAGACGCTCGCGCTAATGCAAACAGCGGAGCAAACGTTAGTTCGAGGTAAAAGCATGAACCACGTAGAGGCTGTCGTCAGCGCAGGCATTGTTTTCAGCAAAAGGGAACTGTTAGAAGCTCAGCAAAAAGATCCATTTTGTCGAAAGGTGTTTGACGGGCTCCGGGAGCCGGGTGGTAGTGAGGCCATCGCGCACAAGGGGGCAGCTGGTATTCCTGTCGGTGCGGATCGCTTGGCCACAGCTGGTAGTGCTGTGAGCACGTTGGATTCATATCTGCTTGATTCTTATGGTGTCCTGCTGAGGTACATCCCATCCGACAATTACACAACTGAGTCATTCAAAGTCGTGATATCGCGCACGTTGAAGAAAGCACTTCTTCGCTACTTTCATGACTCGTGCATTGCTTGGCATGCGAGCGGCCCTAAGACTTACGCTAAGCTGTGTCGCCTCACTACCTGGCCAGGTATGAAGCGCGATGTGATACGTTACGCCCGTTCATGTCTTGTGTGCCAAAGCGTCAAGCCGAGGCGGACGTCCGCCTGGCCTCATGCAACCGATTAACAGTCAGACTACCTGGCAAATCGCGGCATGTGACGTAATGGGCCCGTACCCCACAACTCTTAGCAGAAACAAGTTCTTGCTCGTCATTCACTTCACTAAATGGGTGGAACTTTTTCCCCGTGGGAAGTTGATGGCTAGAGTGATTTTAGAAAAGTTGATGGAGGTTTTCACTAGGTTCGGGTTTCCTGAGCAATTGATTACAGACAACGCATCTTATTTCACTGCGAAGATGTTTGTTGACACATGCGCCGCGTTGGGCATTAAGCACAAGAAAACAACCACCTACCATGCTCAGTCGAACCCCACGGAGCGAGTCAATCGCAACATCAAGCACATGCTTGTTGCGTTCTCTGAGAGGCATAGGGACTGGGATACCTACCTTCCAGAGATCGGTTTTGCATTGCAATCAACCCTGGAGCGATCGACTGGGTATGCTCTTCTCTGAACCTGGGGAGAGAACTGCCGAATCCGATCGAGAACGTACTTGCGGATCGCAGTGCAGTGCCAGTGGCGACATCAGCATGCGCTGAATACGCAATGCAGCTGCGCGAGAAGCTGCATTGGCACAGGAGGAGCACGTGGCACAGGAGGAGCACGGGGGCTACGGCCAGTCCCCCTCCAAGCAGTGTGCGGTGGGTGATATCGCTCAACACTGAGTGAGGAGTCTAGAACCGTGTTGCTTCTTGCGTACCAGACGGAGACAACTATGCACGGTAGGCCGCGTTTGATAAGTTACGATGCGGGGTGCAAGGGTTCGCGCCCAATACATGTGCGATTGTTAAGCTGGTCTTTTTTCTGTGTCAACTTTCACCGAGGAAATGGAGAGCCTAAAGGGAAAAAAGTGTCGCCAGAACAGCTCGGAGAGAAAACCGCTCCTCTCGCCGGATCACCGCCAACATCATCCATGTCGTCATCGCGGCCCCACCCAACCAAGCAACGCCACTTCCACCCTGCTCCATTGCCCTCATCACCGGGCCTTTACGCAGGAGGGGCCAGGGCGACCAGCCGCCAGCCCAGCCAAGAGAGCAGGCCGACTCGAAGCCACTATCAGAAGCACGAGCCTGCCTAGCCGACTCATTAGTTCTCCAGGCACCCCTTGACCTCTGCTATTTCGAGGCCATGGTGTGGCACGCCGAAGACGAGACTCCCAAACTTGCCAGACCAGCGGAGCTGTGCCCCGATGCGGCAGCCCAGACCATGCTGGAGAGGGCGGCCTGAGCCAGTGCTCAACGGGACCGTCACGAACTGGCGACTCTCAGTCGCCACAAGCACCCTAGGTGGCGTGGGACAACAAGGCGCAGTCCGGACCAGTGTAATACCGTCCTCGGATCCAGGGCGGCAGTAACAACGGCGAAAGCTACAACAGTGGCAGTAATGGCGGAGGAGGTGACGGCGGTGTCGACGAGTGGCCATGATGCAAGTGGGCATGGCAGCAGTGGTGGTGGCTACTTTGAATGCTGCGGCGACAAGTGGGGGCACCGGCTGCATCTACGGCAGAGGGCCAACTGCAGGAGGGCACAGTTTGGGACCCACCATCCTAGCCTTCCTCGACGATTAACAAAATATTCTCATGTTGCAGTTTCTGTCATTCAGGGGTCTTCTTAAGGAGGGGAGGATGTGGGGGAGCACGCGCGCCCAGCCTCTCTTTCCCTTTTTACGGCAGCGCGAAAGCCTAGCTGCGGAAACACACCCATGGCCAGCGCTCGCGATTCCCCCTTTCCCAACGCGCGGGCACGCGGAACGGGTTTCTCCTTCCTCAGTGAGAAAAAAGTATTATTCTCATTGGGAGAGGGAAACCGGGTCAGTGGACAAAAATAGCGTGCAGACAGCTGCACGAGCTCTCTCTGACACTGGCCTTGGAAGAAGGAGGTCGAACCCGTAACCCCCGTGCGAGCTGAGGACGACAATGACCAAGGAGTAAGCGTCTACCCTTGTTTTCTGTACTATCTCCTCGCGACATTTGCGCGCTATTGCTAACGCCTAGCAATAAAGTGTCGTTATCTTGACTTAGCCTGCTGCCTTATTCGCCCTAACCCGTGTAGCTACAGTGAGACGAGCTACGAATAGGGGACGTTAATCGTGCACGGTACGACTGTGTGCAGCTGGAACATTAGTTAGGCTTCTGTATCAGCCGTACATAGGATGGAGCCCCTACATGTTTGTGCTGTTAGCAAAGCTGTAAAGAAAGGGAAAGAAGACAACCACCTGTTTCTAGCATGAAGCCACTAGGATAGTCGTACGGACTTCTCAGAAAGAAAAGCCTCTTAGTTGCCGAAAAATTCGTCCTGGTCCGGGGTTTAAATTCGGGACCAACGCCTTTTCTGGGCTGCCGCTCTGGCAATTGAGCTAACCAGGAAGGTAGCAATTGACAATGCAAGGACTAATTCACCAACAACTCGAAGCACATGGACACAAGTATTGCAATGAATTCTGCGGAAACAACCAAGGTGGTAGAATGGTTAAGAGAAGGAAGGAAGACAACCCCCAGTTGAAGCCGCAAGTAAATCCGTACGAACTTCTCAGAAAAAAAAAAAAGCCTCCTAGATGCCGACAAATTCATCCTTGTCCTAGGTTCTTACGTAGGACCAACGCTTTTCCGGTGCGATCGCTCTGGCAGTTTAGCAAACGGGGAAGCTAGCAATCGACAGTGCAAGGGCGAATTCACCAACTTGAAGCACGTGGACACGAAGTATTGCAAATGAATTCTGTGGAAACCCGCATGGTGTCGGAAGGGTTAAGAGAGGGAAAGAAGACAACCACCCTTTTGCAGCACGAAGCCACAAAGAAATACGTACGGACTTCTCAGAAAGAAAAGCCTCTTAGTTGCCAAAAAATTCATCCTGGTCCGAAGTTTGAACCCGGGACCAACACCTCTCCGGTGTGGTCGCTGTACCAATTCAGCTAACCAGGAAGCTGGCAACTGACAGCGCAAGGGTGAAATCACTAGCAACTCGAGGCACATAGACACTAGTATTGCAAATGAGTTCTGTGGATAGCTGCAAGGTGGCAGAAGGGTTAAGAATATGAAAGAAGGGGCAACAAAGAGGCTTTTTTTTTTTCGGAGAAATCTGTACAGATTTTCTTGTGGCTTCGTGCTACAAACGGGTGGATGTCTCCTTTACCTCTCTTAACCCTTGCGCCACCTTGCAGGTTTCCGCAGAACTCATTTGTTGTACAGTTGATAGTGTCATTTCTCATTACAAATGGTTGGAATTAAAATGTTGTTTCAAACAAAGCATCTGTCTAGTTTTTGTTTATAAGTAATGACTTGTGTAAAACTGTGAAACATTAACACAAACAGTACAACCAAACCGATCAATTTGAACTGTGTAAATGTGTTGCGGGCCTACCGTCTTGACACCTGCTGCTGAAAATTGTTGGCATGTAGAACAAGAATGGCTGAAGCAGTGAGTTTTTGCAATGAATTCAAGCATCACGTTTTTTTTTAGTCACTTCTTGCTCAGCATAAAGGTCTAAAAACGAGCAAGGATGGAATAGAGATATGCCTAACTTTGAGTGTGATGTGGTTCTTTATAATGCTTGGATTTGTGAGCAGATGTGATTACAGAGTATACAACACATTTATATAGTAGTGATAAAGGAACTTGGATGGTGGTGTTCAGGTTCAGTGCACCTGAGTATACTAAAGTAGTGGCAGTAGTAAACGTTTTTCTTGTGTCCAAAATGGCCTTTAAGGAGGACCTGTCTTCGTTCTCTGGCCTAAATAGTCCTAAATATTCTGGAGGCTTGTGTTTTTGTGGCAGCAGTGGTCAGAATTATTTTGACAGAGTTTAGAATTGAGTGCTCTACGAAGTATAATAAAAGAAGCCAAACAGGTTTGCAAAAAGTTTGCACACTGTTTTTCCATGATAGGTAAGTGTGCAGACGAAAGCCAAACTGCTGGCTCATAGCAGATAAACTGATGATTATGTGTGGGCTGTCAAAGGAACTTTTGAGAAGTATAGTTCTGAAAAACATAATCTTTGCCCACATTGGCTTGCCAGTGTTTTTTAACTGGCATGATTTGTAATAAAGCATTGGAATGTTGTTGCAGGGTCTGTGTCCCTGTCGGTGCTCTCGGGGAAGCTGATGTTCCGAGATTTTGCCTATGCCACCCCAGATTACACCGTGCGAGCTCAGGATGGCTGGCTGGTCTTTCGTTGGTGGATTCCCTATGTCAAAAAGGAGTTTCCTCGCAGTATGTGCTCATTTGTCTCACCTGAATGCTTTGTATAAAAAAAAAAACTAGGATTAGTCTGGAAATGGAATGGCAATGGGGGAAGTGGTTCCTGCCAGTACGTGTGCATGGGAAAAAAAAGATGCAAATGTGAGTGAATACAATGAGACAGGACAGCAGCTTTGTGTACATGATCTCTCCAGGACAAAATATTCAAAGAAGGCGCAAATGGTTCATCAGTAGGGAATTGTGTGCCTGAAAAAAGAAAGCAACAAAAGTAATGCTATTATCTAAAGTCACTTAAAAATTGTGCAGTTTTGCTTGCTGATAGAAATCTTCCCTCTGCAGCCACGCTGTCATCACACAGGTAGCAGCAGCGAGCTTCTCTCTTGAGATCAAACTGTCTCATTCTCACGAGGTGCGTTACGAGCAAAACACTGGGCTTAGGTTAAGATTGCCATTTTTGTTGACGTCCTCAGCCTCACCTTAGGTGACCTGCTTCTGTCTTATCCTATTGCATGGATAAGACCTTGTGCATAGGATAAATTATTTTTAGCTACAGACGTTTACTATGTAGGCGCACAGCGTCATTACCTAAAGTGTCCCTGTGAGGTGGTGTGAGAACTGAAAGACAACACCTACACTTTCTCTTTGCTCATTCTCTCGCTTAACAAGTGTCCTGCTGCTGGTTAATATGTGTGCATTTACAAATAAGCTGATGAAATGTGGGTGCATTTGGTCAAGCACTTAATTTACAATTGAATGTTTTTATAAACATGGTAGTGGCCTCAGATTTGGGAAACACTAGTGCACTCATGATTCATGACATAACAAGCTGCGAGGTGTGCGAGTGGCTGCATTCCAGCAAATAATACTGTTTCATGATCAGGATTGCATAAAATCAAGATATCTTAGCTTTCTTCAGCTTCGCACAGAATTTTTAATGAATTTCAGTGGCTGTACCATGGTAGAAGACGATGGCCCCGCTCTTTGCTGCACGTGACGTCAGACGTGCCATGAAAAAAGGGCAGTCGCCTGCCCAAGCATGCAGGGTTTGCAGCCAAGAACTTCTAGAGCTTGCTTTGCTCTGGAATATTATTTTACTGTCACTCTTCATATCTGTATAGGCATAACAGACCGTCTACATCTAGCTTTTCTTGAAACCACACATTGTTAGGTGGTGGTGTCATGGCCCCTTTAACACTTTGATGACCATGCCCATTCCTATTGTTAGTAGGCTGACAATGCATCAAGGGGATGCTGCTTGAAAAAGAAGTTTTTGATCTGTAGCCTTGGGCAATGAAAGCTTTGCTGTCTACATAGGTTTTTAGGCTGGTTTTAAATATGCAATCAGTTGTATGGTTTTCATTTATGTTCTATGTCTCTGGCTCATGTTGCTCCTCATTAACTGTAAAATGCAAATGACTAACAAGAAAGTGTGTATAAGACATTTTAATGAACAAGACAAGTTGTAATGTGAGGAGTTTTAAAGTGCTCTGCCTATAATAATTGCTTGAAGTTCATAATACAGCTGAACCCCTTTATAAGAGGCATGATCCGGGCAGCAATGCTTGTCTTTCATTTGAAATGTCTTATAAGCAAGGTACCTTGTATGCATTTTCTTATCAATCATATTTTACTGTCGGCACACTGGTGTCTCTTATACACAGTTGTCTCTTAAGCTCCAATCGAATGCATGCGATTTCTTAGCGGCAGCGACAAACTTGCTCCATCGCGCTGTTGCGTCGCAATGGCTGCAGCCGGATGCCGGCGACAAAAGTGTCTTTGTTGCTTGAATGAAAACTATCGCGTGCATACCCGTAGATTGGGAATAGAAGTTTAAAGGTTGGTCGATGACAACATGCCAAATTTATTACTGTCTTGTGTGGCATAAGGAAGTCACAAAAGCATTCCACGACCTTCTTTTTTCGCTATCTGGTTTAACCGCGACAGGCTGCCCAGAAGCGTACGCTGTGATGGCTACGACGCACTTTGCATGACGATTTGGCATTGCAGCAAGTGCCCTAATTGTCACAAGCTACCGCTAAGACATCAAAACAAACCTTCGATAACGAGATTTATGACAATATACGGCCCCTCTCTCACTCTTTACGTGAGATGACAATGTGAAAAAGGTAGTAGATACCTTGCATTCTTTGATGTATGCATGGATAACAAGCATCGAGAGCAGTAATACAATAGAAGCGAGGACTTGGGGCGCAGCCACATTTCGGGATATTGCCACGCTCGCTTCCGGGCGTCAAGCAATCTTTTATAGTTTTTCACAAACACTCGATGCAACAAGCGGCAGCGATGAATGAGCCTCTGTGACAGCAAACCTTGTCGCTGTCGTTTGTCGCTGCCACGAGGAAATCGCATGCATGCGGTTAGGGCTTTATATCAGTGCTTCTTTAAAGGAGGTTTGACTGTAATTATATACATGTTATCATATTTTAAAGGAGCAAGATAATTACACTTTGCACATGGTAATGAATAATTTGGGAAACATTTCATTCAGGTCTGGTCATCAGTAGCATCAAAAACATGTCCAAACTTAAGTTGCCCTAATTGCATCCTGAGAAAAATGCATTTTAATTGTAGGCATGATAGCTCATCTGTGTGTCAAAGATATGCTTTTAAAAGAATTTCTTTCATCTTGAAAGCTTGGAAATCATGGTTATTTTGAGCATGTGACTTTGGTGAATTCCTCATGCAAAATGCAATGGCAAGCAGTCAGGGAAAAATATACAGGGGACTCTTAGACATTGAGCTCTTCTTAGTTTTTAATAGCCATCCTGGGCTCTTCAAAGACCAACTGCAACGAAATGTCGCACTCTGTAAAAAGTCAATAAATAGGTAGGCTAGTTAGAGGGAACGTTGCCTGCCAAATGTTACCTTCGAAACACCAATGCTTGCATTATAAGAAATGCCAGGCCTGCACGGAAGGCGCAACACAGTCACAGAGAAAGCTAGAAGAGCGGCCTTTCAGAGCCTTTTCTAAACACTTATTGGGTAACTGCTGCAAGCACACTTGCTGGGTACCCACTACGGCATTAATAATAATAATTCCTGAGTAGTAGGCCCCCATTCGCTATGCTATTTTTCGTCATTCTTCTGAGAAGTGTGGTATCTGCTAAACACTTGCAAGGCATTTTTCGCCAATTGCTCATGCAGTGGCTGACGACGACGAGGAATTATGCCTGAAGTGGGTATGCACCACAGAGGAATTATGCCTGAAGTGGGTATGCACCACAGTTAATAAGTGATCAAGAACAAGCTTTTGTAATGGGCTAGAGCATTGAATGACCAACTCGTTACGCTATTCGCATTGTGTGACGCTTGGTTGTTCTTTTGCTGTTTTAAAACGCTTTATTACTCATATTAACGCGATTCTTTTCCCATCATCCAGCCTGTCTAAGGCAAGTTTGCGAGCAAGTCCCAAGCACTGGCATGGCTCAGTAGTAGAATACTGGGCTGGCACGCAACTGACTTGAGTTCAAGCCCCACTGTGTCCTTGGAAGTAGGTTTTTTTTTTCTATTTCGTGTGGAGTGGTTACCGACACCAGCGGCGGCGATGGCGGCTGCTCTTCAAGTACATCTGGCGGCAGCGGACAACTACGGTGCCGCATGTGACCTGAATTGTGATCTCATAACAGCTTTTACAGTAACAAAACTTGCAAACAATGCGATTTTTGAGGCCGAAACTAGAAAAAGCAACGCCATCGCGGCTGACCAGAAATGACGTAGGCTACAGCTCGGCCGATGCAAAAGAATCGTCTGCTCTTCGCTCTTCAAGTATGGGCATTGCAGCCGCAGTCCTGAACTTTCCTAAATATTAAAATACAAAAAATTAAACTATGTGAACATGCCCCGTGAAAGAAACACGGTCCCATGTTTATAACAGTTATTCGATTCAATTTGTCTCGCAGAACATGTGCCGCTGGCCTTTTGCACACGGCGGTGTCCGGTAGCGGGGAAAACAAAAAATACTTTTATTTAAGAAATGTAAAGCTTAAATTATGTCATTGAAACCTCCGCACCCGACAGGCAGCGAGTACTGATCTGCAGTTGCTGTAACAATGATATTGACAAGAAGACAGTTAATATTACACACAAATGCACTTAATTTATTATCGCCATTTATACAGAACGAGGCTATCTTGTCTTGCACATCGTACAGGGCTGAAGGGGAGGGGGCAATCCTGCAAGGTGTTGGAAAAATAGGAGTAGAAAATTGGAATACATCAATACTTGTTAGGGCTATGTGCGTATACTTGCGTAAAACCATTTGAATCCCATCTACTCCAACGACAGGTACGTTTTCCTTAATTTCGTAACAATGCAGCTGGGCAAGACGACGTGGTTTCATGACCCAAGGCGGCCGTAGGCCCACCACACAAACTGCCTGTAGGCAGTGTATTTGTATCAACTTGTAAAAAAAAACAAAACGAAGAGAACAGTCAGACTAGACAACAGCTGATAAACACTTATATGGAATAATTCATCCCTTATGCATTTCATCTGACGACGTCATGAAATCGTTGGTGGTAGTGCTGCAGCTTCCCATCTTTCACCTCCAAAATGAACGGAGTCGGGCAGTACGTCACCAACTGGGGGTTCTTTGTGATGCACGCCTGCTTCTGTTGTATTTTGGCTGCAACAACAGTTTTTTCTGTACAACAGATGCACTCCATACATGTTTCTATTGCGACGCAATAATGGCAGCGGCACCCGAAACCAAATAAAAGTGAAATGTATTTCGCCGATGGATCGCACGTGTGGGTGCATACTTACCACTCGGTGTTCAGCATTCTGCTAGCGTCCGGACTTTGTTTTGGTGACGAGTGCTGTGACTGCTCAGCATCTACTGCTTTCCTTTTTGGCTCATATAAATAAGGTTTCACGCCAAGCGAGTTTGGCACCGTGTCAACGGGTGTGTCATCGAACTCTGGCTTGCTGGTGTCAGATATCCTGCTGCGCTCGTTGTCATGCACACACAAAAAAAACGTAGTGCATTCGTG